AGCAGGTGAAAATTTAACAAGTATACCAGTTTGTAGAAAATTGTTTGCTCTAAAAGATGTGATAGCTTTTTAAGTTCGAAACTATTCTAATTTTCCAGATCGATCTTTTGGGCTGTTTGTACAACAGTTGTATTACATAATGAGTCAACGTTCAGAGCCGAGACACTTTTCATTTTGTAGAGAAATGTTTAAGGGGGCCCCCTCAGGAATTCGATGTTTTCTTCGTAACCTTCGAAATTGAAGTAACCACACGGTTCAGTGTCTCAAAGTATCATCTTTCAGAGTTCATCTCAGTTTGCCACAAGTTCAATGTTTTTGGAGGTTTCTGAAAAAGATTTCTGAATGCCCTAAAAATTATCTTTTCCTAAATTTCACATTTTAATTAAAATTTTTAAGGTTGTCCATTTTAACAGATATGGAGCTTTTTTGAGCAGAGTGTTCTGATCAGAATGTGATGTCCAGCAGGTTTGTACGACTTTGCCTTGCAGAGTTATACTAGTTTTGCTAAAGGCGCTGAACTATAATCAGTGAAGTGATGACGTTACTGCTTAGAATATGGTTTTGGTGCAGAAAAGTTGTATCAACTCCTAGACGATTCGTCGTAAAACCTTCATTCTTTTTTTATTTTAAAGCTAAGACATTTATCTAAATTCTGATCCACAGTGATTTTTGATTTTTGTTTTCTATGCAGAGATACGTGGTAAATACTCCGCCGACTTAGAGTTATTTTCATAGGTCTGACTTAAAATACGTGTAGAAAATGTCGCGAATCAAATTTTAGATTTAGGTATCTACTTTCATTTGAGGCCTCTCCCAGCGTTCTGCACCTTCGAACAAAAAAGCCTTTACGTTATTGCTAAGAGCCCTCCATTTTGCCCCTTGTCACGGCAGTATGAACACTAATAAGGTGGACCATCTTTTGATCGTTTATCATTTAATTTCAAGATTTAGAGATGATTCGAGAATAATAACTATTTATTAAAAAAAACATTTATAACAGATTTTGATGTCCGCCTTCTGTGTCACTGTGCCCTATTTGGATTAGTAAATAAAAATATGAAGCTTGTTTTCTAATTATTATTTATATTAATTTTAATAGACCTTTTGAAGACAAAAACAAAAGACGTTCACATATAAAGACAGTCTAAGAGAAACATCGAGAATGAGAGAAAAAAAATGAATAAAAATTCATCTGTATTTTGTATGTTTCGTTCAAAAAGTAGATTGATAATAACAAAAATAATGTTTCCTTCTCAGATAGATATATACACAATAGAATCCTACTAAATTCTCAGTACCATATTAAATAGCCGCTTGTAAATCCATCACGAAAACTTGATTGTCTTATTGCTAATTTTGCTCGACACAATGGACAATTAGCATTTCGATCAAACCAACTTGTTACACAATCTTCACAAAATATATGCTAAAATATACAACAAAATAAACATTTGATATAAGATTAGGTACAACTTATTTTGAATGTTTTTTTATATATTGAAAAACTTCAGTAGTTAAAGAAGTAAATACTGCACAGTATAAAATTTGATCGTTGTCATGATTTTGATAAAAATACTTACTCTACATGTAAGAAGTATTGGATCTCTATATTCACATCGACATATTGGACACATATTTTCAATATGTGCTAAATCATTAGTTGTAGCATAGGGAAATGGCTAGAAGAAGAAAAAGATGTAATAAGAGTGATTTTTTACATAGTTGATTATTTTCACTTACTAGTGATTGTAATGATTCATGAATTGTTCGTTTTAATAAAACAACTGAATTATATACAGTACACGACTAAGATTAAAAATAAAGTTAGAGTTATTATTATTTTGTAAATAGAAAATCGTTTTTAATAAAACAATTTTGAGAATTGAAATATCAAATTTACAGTTCTCAATATTTTCGAAAAAGTATATCATATCTTACCTTGAGGATTGTATAAAATATGAGTATAACTCCACTAAATAATATACTATGATCATTAACATCTAAAAGAAAAACATTTAAAAACTTATTATCAAACATTATTTTGAAGATTTTTACCAAGAATAAATGCTATCCATGGTCGAATTGTTAATAGACTAATGTAAAATTGTGATGTACATTCAATAATTGAAAAATAACATCCTCGATTACGATATGAAATGAGTTTACTACTTTTACCGGGTAATAAAATGAGTGTGGCTTTTAACAACATGGCAAACATTTTAACAATACAAAACGTCGAATATAATACCCATAACAATGTCCACAAATCCCATTTTGCATATATTGGTAAACCAAATATTAAACTGAAAAATAATAATGAAAATGGAAAATAATAATTATAGTGATGATGATAATACTACCTACTTATTATAAAATTTTTCGTTTCGAAATAAATACAAAAATAATGTTAAACTACTAATTAATATACACATAACACGTATAATGGGAAATATACGACGCATAGACTAAAATAGATTTAAATTTTGAATGTTCAATGTAAAATGAAAGAAAAATAAAATAAAATAAGTGTATTTTTACATACTTTTAATGCGGCTTGTTCTACAAGAACAGTATTTGCATGATATATACTGGCCGAAAAAAATACAATCATTAATATACCTAAAACAAATGTAGTTGATAATATTCTTTCAAAAAGTCAATTATGTTATTAGTTACCTGCACTATGATCATAGAATGCTTTTAAAACAAGTATAAGTGCAAATGGAAATGTAGATGTTAAATTATCTTTGAGAACGCTGACAATTTGTTGTACATGATCACTGTTAATATCACCTCTGGCTTGAGTTCTAATTTCTCCTATCGGATCACCAATATTCATATGTATCGTTTCATCACCATTTGCACTACTACCATTTATCGTTGTACTACCATCGTTATTTGTATCAACGGGTAATAATGGTACATTATCCATTACTGGTGTCTCTGGCTGTTGTTGTTGATATTGTTGTTGAACCAACGGAATAGTTGAGGATGATAAATGCATATCGAGTCGACAATCACCCATTGCACTATTATTGGTAGCCATTCTTGACGTAGATGTTTTTGGTTGACGAGATTGATAATTTAAAACAGATGATGATGGAAGTTGTTGAGAAGCGGATGGCGATTGATAATAGTTTTCATTCTGATAATTTTGTCGTTGTTGCATTTAGAAATAAATAGAAGAAAAGGACATATTTAAACTGAAAACTTTCTTATCATTATAATCTAAATAGAAGAAAAAATAAAAAAAATTAATAGATTAATTAAGATGCGAAATGGAATATTCGCTGTCACAATAGAAACAAAAGTTTATATACAAGCTACGAGATGTTCACTATTTTCTGTTTCTAAATCCACAACTGCATCAATTATTAAACAAAGGAGAAGAGATATCCAGCAAGATTTTCATTCTCCAAATATTTTTTACTTGTTTTTGCAGAAATGTTAATATTGATATGAAAATTTGTTTATATATTTAATTTTGTATACGTTCTCTAAAGCAGACCCTGTTAAACAGAACATAAACGTGTGCGAGTATCGAATGTAAACACTTTGAACTAGACGAATTTTAGAATAGCAATATGATAAAACAATAGGCAAACTTTGTTTGAAACCTACTCTAATAGAGGAAAATCACTTTTGAACAAAGGATTTGATAGATTCTTTGAGCCATCAAGTTTAGTAATACAATTTGGACTCGTCAAGTTTAAAAGTAAAAAGGTACATCCAATTCGTTTTTTGGTAGATTTAAGTTATTCCTCATGTTTTATGTATAACTAGATGGCTTTGAATGATCGTTCGTAAATCTGGGATTCCAATTTCTACTTACGAGGGAAGGTCCAAAGTGTTACTCTCACTTTTCAATGGGACATATCCTAATTTGTAGAGCTCGACGAGCTGATTACGATGGCATAAAGCATTTTCCATTATGGCTCGTGAAGACTAGGATTTCTGAAAAACCAGTTTTCCAGAAACTAAAAAACAACCAAAACTATTCTTAATGAGGCATAATTGTAGCGCACATATTTCTGATTAAAATGAGACATCTTCCAGCTCTGTACGACCTTTCTTTGCACAGCGATAGAATTTACAAGAAAAGCCCTAAATGTTCATTGTCAGTTCAAAGTTACAGAAATAAGAAATTAAATTAGGGCTTTTTTTGTAAGTTCTATAACTTTGCAAGGAACGGTCGTGTAGAACTGGGAGATATCTCATTTTAATCAGAAATGTACGGGCTACAATCATGCCTCATCAAGAAAGGTTCTGGTTACTTTTTAGAGTTTCTGAAAAACTGGGTCTTCAAGAGCTATAGGCGAAAATGCTTTATGCCATCGTAATTAGCTCGTCGAGTTCTACAAGTTAGGATATGTCCCATTGAAAAGTAAGGGTAACACTTGGGGACCTTCCCTCGTTAGGTGTACAACATAAAAGATATCAGGGAAAAAATTCTCTTTGAACTTCGTCTATAAGATTCTAACAAGACAGTCGTGATCACTATGGTAAATACATAAATTCAGAATTTTACACAATCTGCCTGTTGAAGAAAAATCGATCTCGAGTTCCTGGCGAATGGGGAGGAGAAAGGAAAAACGAGACAATAAAGAAATAAGAGGTCGAAGTTCGAAATTCTCAAGAAAAAGAACCACTCAGGATGTTCATATTGATAAGGTTTATACAAAAGAAATAAAAAACATAAAAAATGAAAATTTTGCTTAATATTTCTTCTCTTTTTTTGCATAAAATCTAAATATGTATACCAGTGTGTTTGAGAAATAATATATCTGCCTAAGCGTTGATCCTGAAACACACTTTCATTAGATAGATGAGAAATGACTTTGTACGAAAAGAATCTTCTCAGTATTAAATCCGTAAAAAAAGGACAGAGGAATCGTAAAAGAATTGTCGTTTATTGATGAAAACAAAAGAAAAAGGTTTTCTGCTTTTATGTACTACAAAACCAAAAGTAAAACGTTACCATTCATTTAGCACGTAACAGATACACACACATAAAAGAGAAAAAAACCTATCATTCAACTGTTCTTTCGATAATCATACTTGGATCATTTTGTACCCATTCTAAATCTGTTCGAGATGGATAAACAGTTTTTAATGCACCATTTTGATCAACAATACGAGTCTGCTGTAAAATGAGTGTTTGACGAATTTGTGAACCATTTGTATCATCCTCCTCATTCTCATCGTCTTTGTCATCATCATCATCCGTCGATAAAACATCAAATCTTGATTCTACCGTAGCATCAGCGGCTGGCACTTTTAATTGTAATTTTTCATTTTGTTTTCCTAAACGTATTTTTAACATACCGCGTAATAATTCATCCATAACACGTTTACAAGCATCAATTGTATTGGAACTTGTTATTTCAATTAGAATATCTTGTGTTTGAGCAGTCATCTAAAAATGATTGTACATACATGAAAGTTAAAATAATTTATGAATATCTTGAAAAAATATCAACACATACTTTTGTTCTTTCAGCGTTTGTCAGTGGTGGTAATGAAATAACAAATCGCTCACTATCAGCCAAACATGGAAAATATTGTTGATCAGTAAGTAATGTTAAATACCTAAATGACAAGAGAAAAAAAAAAAGTTTAAATCTTTCTAATATTTCATTTTAACTCAACTAACTTGTTTAATCCAGACAATTGATTTCGTTTTTTTGCTTTACGTTCTTGTTCAGCATCTTTACATAATTGATCATAGTAATCACGAGCTGAAATAAGTTTATTACGTCCTAGAGGTATAAACTACAAACAACGAGAGACTAGAGAACAAGAGATTATTGATAGATTACATACTCCAATTTCATCTGGATCATGTGCATCATATATTAAATTGCCTTTGATTAAATTTAAATCATGAGTAGCGATTGTAGCCAATGTACGTTTAACACATAATTCATCATGTATTTCATTCTTAATTTAGAGAGAAAATTTTCGTTCCACGAGAATAAAAGAAAACAAAGTCCAAAACACTTGTTCTAGAATTATTTCGTTCTTTTAAGAAGAAGGAAAGATGAATAGAATGAGAATACACCTACTTGTAAATTCAGGAATTTCTTTAAATTACCGGGTGTTTTCAAATCAATTTGTCGAACAATACAACACAAAATATGAGGACGAACAGGTAACACACGAGGTAATAATGTGACTAAAACAAATGTGATGAAATAATAGTTTGTACTATTCAAAAATAACTTTTGCATCAGATTAATACACAGACAGGATCACCAAGAAAAAGAACATAGAAACGAACGAAAACTAAGTCATATATCCGGTTAAAGTTCAGTCCAGATCAGAGGATCAATTCGATCTCAAACCTTTCAAAAAATGGCTCCGCTCTGTTCGGTATGAGATCGATTTGAACGACTTTTTCAAAAGATTTGTAAAAATAAAAAGATTTTGAAAAAATCTATAATTTTTTTAATTGGCTAGTTTTCACTTTTTCTTGTATTTTCATCATTGTTTTCAACATTATATTCAAATATTCGTATCAAACATACAAATAAGCTCTTTATGATTGATAATAAAAAACAAATGAGTATCTTTTATTGTCTGCACTGTCTGTATTCTCACAAACCCAGATTTACGTGTTTACATCACAATCAATCTATTGCTGATCAAACATAAATCCCTATTTCGGTATGAAATGATCTTTTCTGATAGGAAACAGATTTCTGTGAATCTGTAACATCCTTTCTATTTTGGAAAAAGATTTTCTGTTTCGATTCGATTTTAAAAAAGCAGGAATCGGTCCCCACCTTTAACATTGATAACCAATTAACTTTTGTTAATATCATGTTGAATGAGAAAGGATCTTATCAATTGTATCTATTCTTTCATTATGAGACTAACAGAAATCTTACTTTGTCTTCCTTTTAGATCTTTTTCATCAAAATACATGACATGAATTTTGTCAACAACTGATGGTTGCTGTTGTTGACCTGTTTTTTTAATCGCCACTGTCGATTGCACTGTTTTAGATTTATCGCCTTTTGATTTGTCTTTTTGTAAGCTTTTTTGCTGTTCAACATAATCTTTTTCCAAATATTCCAAGACCGCTTTTAATTTATCTTGTTCCATTAATTTTTTCAAACGATTATCTTTCAATGGATTATTTTTGAAACGTAGTTCTAAACAGTGAGAAACTTGTATATCTTTCTTATTACTACTAGGTACACTGTTGTTTACCCTTTAATTTCACACATTGTGATAATTCGACTGGTATCTCTTTTATTTGATTATTATCTAGTTGAAATAATTTCAGTTGTGTTAAACTTGATAAATATTTTGGTATTTCAACGAGTTGATTTGATGATATATCCAACGTTGATAAATTATCTAAATCTGTTGATAATTGAGGAAATTCTTGAAATTGATTATAGGCCAAATTGAGTACGGCTAATTTATGTAAACCCTTGGGAAATGGACACAATTGTGTTAGACGATTATGACTTAAATTAATTGTTTCAATTTCAAGCCAATTAGTAAAAAGTTGATCGGGAATCTAAATTAACACAGTAGAGATTAATTTTGCAATTACTAACAGTTATTTGATATTTTGACGTACTTGTTCTAGTTCATTATAGGATGCATTGAAATGTTTCATTTTTCGTAATTCGGCTAATTGTGGACATAGATCACGTAATTTATTCGATGTCAATGTGAGAGTGGTTAAATTGATTAGTTGTGAAACATCAGATGAGAGTACTGAAAGACTAGTGCGAGTTATTTCAAGAAAATTTATTTGTTTTAATTTGAATATTGCTGGATCGAGTTGTCCATCTGATTTTTGAAGACGATCAGATATTTCTTGACCACTTAATACTAACTCATAACGTTTATTTTCATGAACAGTTGTTACTTCTGGCCACGACATGATGAGATTGACTCACAATCTAAAACAGATGCAAAAACATCGTTGTGTTAATAATAAAAATACTATCAGAAGGGAACTACAATCGTTATACTATTTAGATCAAATGATCATTGGGAATTTTTGCTTCAGTGTGACTACAAGATTATCTAAGACCTCAATATTAGTGTCTTTGAAAGTAAATCGTTACAACATACTAATGAAACATAGAAAAGTCTTAACTTCAAAAGTTAAAGTCGAACAAATTATGTTTTTTTGCACTTATACAAAAAGTCGGGAGGCCACTTATAAAACTCGACAATTCAATCTTACATTGTGTATGAAAACCCGAGGATAGATCTGGTATAGAAGACTTCTTCATTGACCGATGAGTCTACAGAGATATTAAATTGAGTTGTTGAAACAAACTAATTGCGTTTACATTACATCAGACTAAAAAAGGGGGAACGATAACAGGCAAAATCAGCCCCTCTGCAATTTTTCCTTATATTCATGAGTTTTATGTATTTTACATTCGGGCGTAACACTGGCATCGAATCAGCCGTTAAAAACTACTTATTACATGAATTTTGCCAATTAGAATTTTACCTTCTCCGAGAATCTTTACTCATTCAATTTGTTGTATTTCGTCTCTATGTCGAAAACCAAATCACAACTCTTATATACTATTCGATAAATAATTTTACGAGCTACAAAATGGTGTATAAAGTATTGGAAAAAAAATCTAACTGAGTATTTTAACATTAAAAATTCTATTTACTACCTCAATAAATTCAAAGATCAATATCATTCAGATGCGGCAGAAATTCCCCGAAGACATCCAGATGCGGTGATCTTTAGGTTGGGAACACTCAAAATAGATGGAAATTATCGATCATTATCGATCTCATGGCAATGTTAGTTTTTGGAATAAAATTCGAAAACCTATAATATAGATGAAATAACCTATTTGTGTCTATTTTCGAGTAAAATTTACGAATTCATAACTCAGTCAAAATCGATCCAAAACCACTTCAGAAGATCAAGATATACTCTGTACTATCCGTTCAATCTGATCCTATGCTCAAGATCAACAAAAAATAGCTCTTACTTTCTGGAAAACCTTTTCAAAAACCAAAGTAGTTTCTGTGGTTTTTAAAATGTCCATTCAACCCCATGGTTTAGCGCAGATAAAATAGAGTAACAAATAATAAGAAGTATGACAAATTGAATAAGTAAAAGTTCTCAGAGGACGTAAAATTGTAAGTGGCAAAATTCATATAATAAGTAGTTTTTAACGGTTGATTCGATGCCAGTGTTACACCCGAACGTAAGTACATAAAACTCATGAATATAAGGAAAATTGCAGAGGGGCTGATTTTGTCTGTTACCGTTCCGCTTCCTTTGGGATAAAACAGAGTTTTTGTAATCGAATAATTGTTAAAAAGAATCGCTTCAGTCAATTCATTTCTAACAGTCATCGAACTACTGACTTTCAATAAATGAGATTTATATTGTAAATCAGGTTTACAAAAGAATCCGTCGTGAGTCAGTAATGTGCAAGTCTGACGCACTAAACAAAAATTACGAAATACAAAAACAAAAAGAAAAATTACGAAACAAAATGCACTAACATAAGAAAACTAGGCTAACGACCCCCTCTATAACTGATGATTTTTTTAGTGTGCATGTTTGTTAGTTCTCTCGTTAAATGAGTGTCTTTGAATATAGCGGGCGCTAGCAACCGGTCATTAGAATTGTCGCTATTTTGAATACTCCTAAGATCAATAGTTGTTTAGTTATAAGTAAACAATCGCCCGCTCCTGAATTTCTAATTTTTTCAATCAGATAATGTCAAGTATATTGCTCTTCTAACAGGCATTTTCAACAGAAACTGACAACGAGCGCTCACTTTTTGTGAACCGGTTAATGTCTAATTTATTCGATATAAATATCATTCTAATGAGTATACAGTGGTTACTTATAAAGCTAGACTTATATTATAGATTCATTATCAAACAAAAATTCTTTCTTGTAGAAGATCTAACTGATCACTTGGTTGACGTGGCCGTTTTATGAAATGTAAGGTTGTCTCCCAGGTTAACTTGGTAGGAAACCGATCAAATGGACTCTGATACGAACATGAGTATGTATGAAATTTCTTCCTTTCGTTAGAAAAGGTGTATTGAATTTGAAGTTTATACTTAAAATATATGAATTATGAGCGATTCACATCCATGAGGTAGTCACAATTTCAATATCACTCGTGTTACTTGACAAACGTGCCTGGATCATTATACTGACTATAGAAAGTGACATTAATTGTACAGTTTTTATGACTTTTGTTAACAACATTCAGTGACTGACTAATAAAAGCAAAAGAAGTAAAATCGTACGAACAAATCGAATTGAGAAACTCAGACTTGCCAAATTCTAGTGCTATTCTTAAAACAGAAATTACTTACATCTCAGCCCAAACACATTTCATATAGTTTTCATCATTTTCATTATTTGTCATTTCACCAATAGTTTGACAACAACATTTTGTTTAAGCAAACTTTCGAAAAAGAATTGAAAAATATTATCTTTTTTTAGAATATTATTCATGAGTTTTCATTGTATAAGTACACCCAATATTCAACAGTTAAAAAATACTTTTTGCTGCCAAGTTGGCTCTACCCAAATGTGACTTATACACTACACTCATCACATTTTCTGTATTCAATTTATTGTTTCTAGATAAATATTTAAGATATGTTAAATTTATTTGACATTAATCAACAATTTTCTCCGAAGATCGTTATAATGTAAGATATTTATCGTTTTATTAAATTAATCACAACATAGGACAGAGAAATGCAGGAAAATCTGTCTTATATTTTGCGTATTTAAACGAGTTTGTAATTGAGTCCTTGAAATAAAAATAACCGATATGAAACTTTACAAATGACAACAATGAAAAGAAAATTTAGACGTATGAAGCATTATGAGAATAATATTTATAAGTTTAATGTGACAAAAAATTACAAAAAGAACAACAACAGGTACACTGTCATAAAAAGTGTCTTGATAAATCACTCGACTGCTTCAAAATGCGTCCCTAGTGCGTTTTCAAGGCACGTCAGGTGCATTTTCTCATCTTTTTACTGGTAGTCGCCTTAATGTCTTTAAAAAAAGACCTCTAAGTCGTTACTTTTTTTGAAAAAAATAGCTTACGTGTATTTATAGGTAGATATCACTAATACATCAGAAAGGCACAATGCATTACCTGCGGTTCAGACCCTTAATCACCCATAAGCCACAGATAAATCATGCAGTCACATTTAAGGCTGGTTGATTTACGGATTGATACCCTTTTCATTGGCAGAGGTGCGTATCGGTGCCGAAAAAGTGTCGATATATTATAATAAACGTTTCCAGTTTTGAGCAAAAATAAAAGTTTTCTAAAACAGTGTTCATACCATTCAACTGGTTTGAACACTAGAAAATCTATTGATAAATCAAAAGCCAAAAAGAAAACGGACGCTCTGATTGAAAGATTAACGGGGGAACCTCCCCAAATGTACTCTCATTTTTTTAACGCAATGTAGTAGGTTGTAGGTAACCGACCATGCTGATTTCGAATATAATATTCATTTGACTTCATAGGCCTTTCCTAGCCGATTTCTGGAAATCTAGCTTTTCAGAAACCTCGAAAAATCCCCAAAACCTTTTCTAAATAAGCCAGGATTGTGGACCGCGAAATTCTGATCAAAATGAGACATCTTCCAGGTCTACACGACCTTTCTCTGCAAAGTTATAGAGTTTACAAGAAAAGCTCTAGAACCGAGAGATATCTCATTTTGATCAGAATTTCGCGGTCTACGATCATGGCTTATTTAGAAAAGGTTTTGGGGATTTTTCGAGGTTTCTGGAAAATCGGCTAATCGGTCTATGAACCCAAATGAATATCATATTAGAAATCAGCATGGTCGATTACCTACAACCCACTACATTACGTTAAAAAAACGAGAGTACATTTGGAAGCTTCCCTTGTAAGTTGTTTGCTTGTTATTGTTTTAATTTGTTTTTTAACTGTAGCTTGATTTTACCGTGCATAATGTCAGACACTTATTACTCCTTTCTTTATTTATTATTGATTATATCGCTCTAGTTTTCATTAACCTAAACTTTTTTCGCACCTATTTCGAAACCGTTATTGTCGGTTAATTTGTTTTTCTAGTAAAGTGTAATGAACTCTTTAGAATTATTTTTTAGAGAAAAGCTGATGTTGTAGAATAATGACCTTCATTTATTTGTATAAAATATTGGGCTGATAGACCTTCACAGACTAATTTGAAAAGAAGCATAAAGGAATATGGTTTTGTATGAACTAGGCAAACATCACGAGCGTTTTGTTTTATCTGTTAAAATAGAGTCACATGGGGTAATTCTGATAATCGCCTAAAACTTTTCAGATATTTTGAGCATATTTAAGTCATCTTTCACCGGAGAAAGTCAGTATTATTCAGGTAGATAAAGCTGACTCTTAGCTATCTACTGATGTAAAAATTTCTAAAATTCATTAACATTATTTAGTTCTAATCAAGAATAAAATCACCTTTTTCATGTCGAAATACACTATTTCAAATGAGACATTCTGTCTTTATTCTAAAGACATCATCAGTCAACTATCAGTTAGTTAGTTGATTAGAAATTACGAAAAGTAAAAGACATAGTCATTTTTTTCATTTGTCTTCTTTGGGGTAATTATAATAACACAGCTATTTTTCATGGAGTAATTATGATAATCCCATGTAAATCACACGGACAGATAGGAAAAAATCTTCACCATCTCTTAGAACCCAATTTTGATGCTATACTAAATGACAAAGTTGTTCATAATCTTATAATCTACCACATATGTGAAAATTGTGAAAAAAACGAGTATTTCCAACAAATAATGGGTATATAATAGAGCTACAGTATTTTAAACGCATTTTTGTGCATTCAAATTAGTAGAATCATTAGGCTACAGCCTAAAT